TCCTCAATCAAAGTATTAAGAGAAGAAAACCAAGAGCAGAAGAAAAAAATAACTGAACTTGAAGAACTTATCAAACAATTAAGAACAGCAATCAACGATATGGATAGTTTTAGGAAACAAACACAGATTAGCAATATAACACTTTCTCAAGACCACAATAGATTTAACACACTACAGGAAGTAGGAGACAATGAGGAAATGGAAACGGAGGACTCAAGAGTCAGTGAAATAGAAAAGAGCTACAGGACCAACGAAGAAAAGCCTAAGGACTGGATCGAGATAGCAGAACAAGAACAATACAAGGAAAGTGAGAATAATGCAACCGTGAGTCAAGACTACAGAAAACAAAAACAGAGTGTAAACAACAAAAAGCTTCAACCACCCCCAATTAATATCTTTGATCAAGATCCCAAGATGCTAACAAAACTCCTAAAGGAAGAAATCAATGAAACAAACTTCAGTATCAAAAGACTAGGAGAAAAAAAGATAACATTGAAGGTAAATACAACGACACAACACAAGAAAATAATAAAAATTTTACAAGAAAGGAATAAAAATTTTTATTCGTACACAAGAAAAGATGAGAAAATACAATCATGGCTTCTCAAAGGAATTAGCCCCTCTTACAACGAAGAAGAAATACTCGAAGAACTAAACAGTCAAGAAATAAAGGATATATCAATCATAAAGGTTTGCAGATTCACAACGAGAGCAGCAGAAAAAAGAAACCAGGTGCTGCCTATATTCATGGTGCAGTTGACAGCTGAGAGTAACCCGAGAAGCCTAACAGGAATCAGGATAATAGCCCACCATGTAGTCACCTGGGAAAAATTAAAGAAGAAGGAGATAATCCAATGTAAACGTTGCCAAAGGTTAGGACATGCAGCAATTAACTGTAATCTACCATATAGATGCGTAAAATGTAACATTAAACACGAACCGGGGAATTGTGCAATTGCAGATGTGGATAGAGATAAAATCTTTTGTGCGAACTGTAATTCCTTTGGACACCCGGCGTCATACCGAGGATGTCCCAAAATTAAAGAAATTAGTAACATTATCAAAAATAAAAACATTAACGGGACAACAAAAAACCTACCAAATACAAATAAGAACTATAGAACAGTAAGTGAGAATTTCACATATGCTGACGTATCCAAATTAAATCCAACAGCAGAATCAGAAAATAACAATTTTAAAAATAACAATTTTAAAATTAACAGCAAGCAAGATAACTACCAAAATTTTAGGGAATTTCAAAACAAAACAGATACTAACCTAGGTCAGAGGCCGGATGATACGGGGAATTTCAGTGGCACATATAATAATACTATCAATCAGATACTTAATTTGGAAAAGGTAATAGCGCAACTCCCCGAAATAGTAAGTAAAATAGAGCGCATCACTATATTTTTGGAGGCAGAATTTCCGAACAAATTCTATATGAATAAAAATGGCAGGAACACATAATAGCGCAAAAGTTAAAAAATTAAAGATAATTTCGCTTAACATAAACTCACTTATCAGCAATTATAAAAGAGAAGAATTAAGAATCCTATTAGACGAACATAATCCAGAACTAGTACTCTTGTCTGAAACAAAATTAAACGATAGCCACCGAATCTTTTTCAAAAATTACAACTGTATATTTAATAATAGAAAAGGTCAAAATAGGGCGGGGGGAACAGCAATTTTGATACAAAAGGATATCAGGTTCAACAATGTCATTCTCAACGACCAAAACAAAACGATAGAAAACACAATAATTCAAGTCAACTTAAACAACAATAAAAAATTATATATTGTCGCAATATACGCAATAAGAGGATGGAATAAACATTTCATACCTGAATTAAAGAAACTATTTGAAGAACTCGAACTCAATGAACCTAACAACTACTTTATTTTAGCAGGTGATTTTAACGCAAGACATATAGCATGGAAAAATAAGACGAATAATGATAGAGGTACCGCATTGTTTAATTGGATCGAAGAGAATGACATTGAATATAAGATAAGACTCTATAACTCAAAATATCCATCATTCCCAAGCAAGGGAACTTACCTAGATCTGGTATTGGCAGACACCAGAATGAAAATAACCAATCTTATCCAAGGCGAATTGCGTTCTACTACATTCGATAGCGATCACGAAGCACTAGTAATTGAAATAAACTTAGATGATCACAAATACTTTTTAGAAGAAAAAATAAGCAAATACAATTATAATTTTGATAAAGCAAACTGGAATACATATCAGAAGGAATTGTGCAAATTCTGGGTAGAAAATGTACCATCTAATCGTAACCTAAGATTAACAGAAATTGACAAATACTTAGATACTCTATCGGAACAAATCACACAGGCAATAGATATAGCAGTCCCAAAGATAAAAGAAAGAAATTCGACAGATATTTACATAAATAAAGAAATCAGGAAACTTAGAAAAGAAAGCAAAGAAATACTTACAAAAATTCACAGATTAAAAAAAAACCCGCGATTCAATAGTTTTGACCTAGTCAAGCTGAAAGAAGAAAGTAAAAAAATTAAAATACAAAAAAGAATAGAATTCAATAAAGAGGTCAGTAGATACTGGGAAAATAGAATTAGGAATATCAGTCAAAAAAATTCAAGAAAAATGTTCCCCGAAATTAACAAAATTTTTAGGAAAAAAGAACCATTAAAACTACCTACACTTAAAATTAATAAAAACAATCAGGAATTACTAAACAAAGCAAAAATAGACAAATCAGTCCTCAAAACCGATAGCGCAGGGAACTTTGTAATATCAGAAGAAAAGCAAAAATTAAATCTGATAGCAACGCATTTTGCAGAATCAAATACAAAAAACGATAACTTAGGTAACTCTAGATTTAACGAATACGTTAAAGGAAAAGTTGACCAAATGAAGCTAGAGTTCTTATCGCAAACAGAGATGGAAACCCCGCTCTGCATTTTCAATGATAAAAACAGAGCCGATAACCCATCAGAGGAAAACATTGAGAATAAAATTTTTACAACACCTGAAGTAGTACACGATAAATTTAGAAAAGTAAATAATAAAAAATCAGCAGGTGATGACGGTATCCCGAACCTAGCGCTCAAGAATCTTCCTAAAAGAATAACATATCAATATGCAATATTATTCAACAATATGTTAAATCTAGGTTACTTCCCAAATAAATGGAAAAAAGCGAAAGTAATTCCGATACCAAAAAAAGGTAAAGACCACACAAACCCAACTAATTACAGACCAATCAGTTTGTTATCAAACATAGGTAAAATATATGAAAAAATAATTAATGACATACTTACAAATCAATGTATCGAGCGGAAGATCATCCCGGAAAGTCAATATGGATTCAAAGAGCAGCATGCAACAACTCATGCGATCAATAAAATAGTCTCAGATGTAAACTGGGCCTTTAATGATAAAAAGTGCGTGGGAGCAATCCTCGTAGACCTGGAAAAAGCTTTTGATACAGTGTGGCTAGACGGGCTGATCTTCAAACTCAAAGATAAAAAAATACCAGATTATATAATTAAATTAGTATGGAATATGATAACAAATAGATCGTTCGCAGTAATCAGCAACGGTATAAAATCAGATCAAGAATTCAAACTTTTAAATGGCCTTCAACAAGGAACAATTAACTCACCAATATTATTTAATATTTTCACATCAGATGTATTACACCTCTACGGCCCAAATAATACAGACTGTACATTGCTGGCTTTTGCGGACGATCTGATTGTTTACTATGCTAATAAAAAACCATCCGAAGTTCAAAAGAAATTAGAAATAGTCCTTGAAAAAGTTTTTAACTATTATTTCGCCTGGAAATTAAAGGTTAACACAAATAAATGTGAGTGTATACTATTTAGACAATCTATGAGAATAGCAAGACAAACAGTTCAAAAAGAGTACAAAAAGTTCCAAATAGTCACAAAAAATAACGAACTCATAACAAAGGAAAATATAGTTAAATATCTTGGTATAAATATGGATGAGAGATGCCTCTTAAATGAACACTTAGAGATTCAATTAAATAAAGCCAGAATCGCACTGAGAGCATGCGGCAAACTATTCTACAACAAAAATTTAAACAGTAATGTTAAAATAATTTCGTATCAACTTCTGATAAGACCAATTGTAACATACGCATGTGCAATATGGTACAACATAAGTGCTTCGTTAATGGAAAAACTAAGAATTTTTGAAAGAAAATGTCTAAGACTATGTTTGGGAAAATACAGATCAAAGGAATCTAACTACACAAAATATATAAAAAATTCAGAATTATATAACGCGGCCAACATACCAAGAATTGATAATTTTATAATTAAACTCACTAGAAATTATTACGCATCTCTCCCAATGATTCAAAATAGCTTAATATTTCCAATAGCTTTTCCAGATCCCAATTACATTGATAAAACAAGAGTATCAGGATACGTCCCTCCAGAAGCATTCATTTTATTAGATCAAAATGGCTATATTCAAGACAAATATAAAATTCCGACCATATACCACATGCCAAGAAATAAATTAAATAAAAAAATATTGTATGAACCTGATATCGTATGCGCAGCAAATTTGAACCGATTAAGATATAACACAGCAATACCTCTAAGAGATTATAAGGATAATTATATGAAGAATAGCGATAAATTCTGGTGGTTAAAAAATAAAAATAAGAAATAAAACTAAATAGTAAAGCTTAAGTACCAGATAAATCTTATAGTAGTTAATAAACATAGTAATATATATTATATTTTATTATATTGTACATCGTTCATTAGAATCATTGTAAATAGTTCATTTTAGCAACTCATTTTTCATCAGTATTCTAATCCCTAGTTTTAGTAATAATTTATAGTCTTCCGTAGTTATAACAGTTATTTAACCAGTGTTTTTTTTTATCATACGTCGTTTAAGTTTTTTCACTGGCTAGTCTCACTCATGTTTACTCATAAACCTCCCCGGAGAATCTCAATTCGAGTTAAGTTTAAAAATTCGTCAAAATAGGATAAATATTAGCTGCGAGTGCTCAACGAGCCGTCAGTCTACTAACCACTAGATATAAGGATGGAGTTGTTTTGTTTATTGGACTCATGATGTATTATTGTAACAGTAACGACATAATAAACTATTTGAAATGCAAAAATACGTTGAAAGCACCAGTTCTCGTCTGATCACTGAAGTCAAGCAACGTTGGGCACGGTCAGTACTTAGATGGGTGACCGCTTGGGAACACCGTGTACTGTTGGCATAATTTTTTCTTCTTTTGATAATTTTCAAAAACTAATAATGGAACGCGACAACCTATCCCTTCTTTTTGTTTTTCATTTTCAAAGCTTTTTATCGTCTTTTTGTGCTATTATTATTATTATCTGGCTTACAAGAGCAAGAAAAATTGCGTAGTTATGTGTCAAATAAGTTTTGCAGTAACTCAAACAGATTGGCAAGTATCAACGATTACCAATATGGATTCAAAAAGCAACATTCAACAATGCATGCGATAAATAAAATCGTCTCAAATGGGTAAACTGGGCTCTAAAGGACAAGAAGTGCATGGGAGCATACCTAGTAGATCTGAAAAAAGCATTTGATACTGTATGGCTCGACGGGCTGCTCTTTACACGCAAAAAAATGATTTAATAATATCAGCTAAACCGCGGTAGCTGATTCAAACTTAGTCAAAAGGCTAATTGTTTAGATGTCACTGTTAAAAATTGGCTATGACAGCTAAAATGCATTCGCTATGAAATACAAATATATTAGGTGACATTAAAAATGCACATTATTTCAAGTAGCTAAGAAAATGGCAGTTATTCCTAAATTTCTTATCGTATGTATATATTAAAGAAGTTTGCCGTACAGCTACAATCATTTATTTTTAGCAGCTAATATTTCTCGCTGTAGCGCCTAAGTTTAACAACGAATAAATTTAGCTTTGGTAGTATCGACATTAGCTGTCCCTATTTCAGTGACACATCTTATCTGCCACAGCTATTTTTTAGCTCTGGAAGCTAATTCTTTTTTTGTAGACTTAAGGATAAGAAAATCCCGAATCACCTGATTAAGTTAATATGGAATATAATAACGAATAGGTCGTTTGTGATAGTCAGTAACGGAGAGAAATCAGAGTAGGAACACAAACTTCTAAACGACCTACAACAAGGAACAATAAATTCTCCACTTTTATTTAACATCTACACATTTGATATATTACACCTATACGGCCCGAATAAGACTGACTGCACGTTACTGACCTTCGCAGACGATCTAATCGTATATTATACTGATAATAAACCGCACGAGGTACAAAAGAAATTAGAAAAAAACTTTAATTACTACACTAGAAAAAATCTTTAATTACTATAATGCTTAGAAACTCAGAGTCAACATAAACAAATACGAATGTATACTGTTTAGGCAATCTATTAGAATAGCTAGCCAATCAGTACAAAAAGGATATAAGAAATTCCAAATTACAATTCGGAAAGGCAACGAGAATATAAATAGGAAAAAGATGGTCAAATGTCTAGGTATAAACATAGATGAGAAATGTCTCTTGAATGAACATATTGATATACAACAGCATGTACTGTTGGCTTACTTTTTTATTTTTGATAATTTCTCCAGCATCTCCTTTACTATTATTATTAATATATTTAGCGCACACAATCAATCGCACAGAATTTTATAGCTGCAACGCAGCACGGCTTTGCTGACCAGCACTTCAAAACATATGAAGAAATAAAAAAGTGTCTCGATAAATGGATTGCTTCGGATGAACATTTTTTTATCGTGGAATTTACTTATTACCGAATACAGGGTGTCCCAGAAGTACCGCATGCTATTTTAATGGCAGATTCTTTAGAATATTTTAAAACGAAAACTTCCACACGAAAATATCGAGGCTATAATAGTTTTCAAATAGGAAACGATTATATTTCACCAATAACAGGGTTGAGATTTCGTGCGCTCAGGCACGCCGAAATGACAAGTGATAAAAGTACACACCGTATAGAATAGTGGACACCTTCATGGTAATTGATCGATACTTTGACAGATTAAGTTGAAATATGTTATTTTTACTTGAATCATATTTAAGATGTACAACTATTATTCGCATAAAAAATATATTAATGCAATGCGTAGAGAAGCGATAAAACATATTATGACAATGTTATTGTAAATTTATACAATAATCATAATATCGTAAGAAAAGTGACATTCATAGAAGCACCTTTATCATTTGTCATTTCGGCGTGCCTGAGCGCACGAAATCTCAGCCCTGTCATTGGTGAAATATAATCGCTTCCCGTTTGAAAACTATTATAGCCTCGACATTTTTGTGTGAAAGTTTTCGTTTTGAAATGTTCTAAAGAATCTGCCATTGAAATAGCATGCGATAGTTTCAGGACACCCTGTGTATATATACAGGGTGTCCGGTAACTAATGGAGCAACCGCCGTGTACGGATAGAACGGGTCCAAATAATCATAAAAGTTATATACCATTTTGAAATTTTCTCAATATTTATTCCGTAATTAATTAAAATATATAAGTCAATGAGCTCACAAGAAGCGGTAGGACAGGCTCTGTGTGTGTAAAAGAAATGGCTTACCTCTTAGCAACGATGAGTAAACAGCTGATTTCGAGGCGGAGTAACAAACGACACGTATAAGTTATTCCGCCTCGAAATCAGCTGTTTACTCATCGTTGCTAAGAGGTAAGCCATTTCTTTTACACACACAGAGCCTGTCCTACCGCTTTGCATACACTGAGAGAAAGATTTAGTAAATATTATCAAAATTTGGTTACTATTACTAAATGGTAAACGTAAATATAGC